TGGTTTGGTTTTTTTGCCTCACACCGCCCAGCTAGGACACTGCGAGCAGGGTGTGTTAGGGCTTAGGGTTTTCCTAAACCCTCATCCCCAAACCCTAAACCCCTAAACCCTAAACCCCAAACCCCTAAACCCTACTAAACCCCAAACCCCTAAACCCTAAACCCCTCAACCCTAAACCCTCAACCCCTCAACCCTCAACCCCTAAACCCCAAAACCCCAAAGCCCTAAACCCCTAAACCCTAGACCCCTCAACCCCTCAACCCTGAACCCTAAACCCCTCATCCCCTCAACCCTAAACCCTACTAAACCCCAAACCCCTAAACCCTAAACCCTAAACCCCAAACCCCTAAACCCTAAACCCTCCTAAACCCCAAACCCCTAAACTTTAAACCCCTCAATTTTGAACCCTCGGTCTCCTGAGAAAGAAGAAGCCTCGAGACGACTTTTGGCATCAGCGACGCGGTGTCCCGGCTGTAGACGAGGTCGGAACCCAGAATTAGATCCTGGCATGGACGGTTTAGGGTTTCGGGTTTAGGGTTTGGGTTTTGGGTTTTGGGTTTTGGGTTTTGGGGTTTAGGGGTTAGCGTTTAGGGTTTTGGGTTTTGGGTTTAGTGTTCAGGGGTTTAGGGGTTTAGGGGTTTTAGGGGTTCAGGGTTTGTTTAGCGTTTAGGGTTTTGGGTATAGGGTGGAGGGTTTAGGGTTTAGGGGTTGGGGGTTTAGGGGTTTAGGGTTTCGGGTTTAGGGTTTTGGGCAGGCATGGATGCACCCAGACCTTCCAAACTCCTTTTGTTAAGGAATGTATACCTTTGAGCCTGTTAGAGATCCAATTATGATTTAAGGTATATCCCTCAATTAAGGGATATTGGAAGGTCTGGGCAGGGATGCTGGGCCGATCGTTTAGGGTTTAGGCGCTAGAACGGGCATCAGCTGAAACTCTGTTCACATAAAGGCCCAGAAATACGGATGAGGATATAAATCCTGCATTACCCATCAAAAGGAATATACCATTAATTCCCCCTAGTTTAGGGTCTTTGAGATAATGCAGGATTTAGATCATCAACAGTAGGGTTTGGAATGCCAGAAGCTGGTGGTTCTTCAACAGCTCTTATCAGAACCCTAGACCTTAGACCCTAGCCCTAAAACCTAATCAGAACCCCGGACTTTATACTATCAACAGTAGGACTCGGGGGTTTAGAGTTCAGGGCTCTGAGTTAACATCTGCTTGTCGGGGTTGTTACCCTAAGGGTCCATGTAGCCATATGGTGTATACTAGTATAGGCGTTGGCTTAACAGTCATCACACGATATAGGTAATTTTGGGTCCAGAATATATGCTATATCTTTGCATGGACCCGTAGGGTTACATCGGGAAACTCCGGGACCTCCGACAAAAGCACTTCCTAGGGTCCGAACCAACCCCGACCCTCAACTGTAGTCTGAACCGGGAACTTAACTTCTGCCACCGCGTTGTCGGGTGCTATGCGGGAAGCCACAATGCTGACGCTTAAACTCCAAAACTCTGAACTCAAAGCCCCTCATGTAGGGGCCGTAATAATTAGAATAGGGATTTGGGGTCTGTTGCATTAGATAAATTATAGTTATAATAAGGAAGCCCCCCAAAATTGCATTGGTAATTAATGACCCCCCTATATTCAGCCCTAAACCCTGAACCAAAGCCCGAAAATGCTGAACTCGAAGACAAAAGCCCCCAGCCCTCAGCCACAAAATCCTACGCCCCAAGAGCAACACAGGGTTTAGGGTGTAGGGTTTAGACCCCGCAGCCTTAGAGTGCCGTACGCCCTAACTCCTAGACCCACAACCAAAGACCCCAAGCCAGCATCCACAACAAGCAAGAGCCCAAAACCATAGACACCCCAAACCCCCTAAAGCCTAAACCCTAAACCCAAAACCCTAAACCCCTACACTCTACACCCTAGACCCTAAACCCTAAACCCTAAAACCCAAGTGAGTCTGCAAGCCCAGGCGCCCAGGTCTCTTCGCAGACAGCACTGGCATCCTCCAGTGGCTGAGTCAAGAGACTGCACCAACCCCAACGAATTAGGGTTTAGGGTTTAGGTTTTAGGGTTTAGGGTTTAGGGAGACTGCACCAACCCCTGAATGCTAAGTTTGCTGTGTACAAAACTGTTTGTGTAGTTCTCTAAATTAGGGTTCCATTTTGGGTTCCCGGTATAGTACGACACCCATATGAAAAGACCCGAATCCAGACAACTACCCAGTACATGGCGCCGAAAACCAGACCCCCGTCCGCACAATTATACTGCACCCCTACGGCTCGGTGTACCTATATAGTACATACTTAAGCGTAATAAAGTACCCCTATGGTAACATCTTTAAGTATATGAGATGCCTGAGAAGAAATCGCAAACACACCGCAACAACACTAACCCTAAACCCTAAACCCTAAACCCATAGGGGCTCGTTTTTGGTGTAGGGCTTAGCATCATTCAGTTCAGGGATGTGGGGTTTGGGTTTAGGGTGGTGCAGGGTTTGATATTTCGGGTTTAGGGTTTAGGGTTTAGGGTGTCCACGTACTTAAACGGTGCATCATTGGGCTGTGGCTTCCCCTCCACACCTCGCGAAGTGACGAAGTACCATGCTGTGTTCTTGTTAAGGACTTTACTGTAAGCTGCTGTAAGCAACCTTACTACTGAAAGATGTGATGGCCGTCCGTACTATGTTGTGCTCTTGTCGGTCAGGAATGTTCTATGCTATAAATACCGTAACATTTAAAGATATGATGAATATTACTCTAATTTCCCTTACCGCACGAACTACTTTACTATGAATGGCTTTTGAAACATTAAAGGCAGAGAGTCCATGATGTGTTGTACTGCCATGGTAACTCAAACTGAGCATACAGACCTCCATGAACCTTTTCAGAACTTAAGAACATTACTATTTCCTAAAAAGGGTTCATCAACAAATGCCCAGGATAGACTGTCTTGTGCCAAGTGTCTACGTCGGCCCAGTCGAGTGCTGCCACCTCCACTTTGTCAGCACCAGGCAGGCCCACGTTCAACCTCATGTTGTATCCGGCTTGAAGAGCAACAGACCACTGCATGGATAACTGGGCTTGACATATACTTAATTTCCCTATAAGCCAGGAAAATAAAACGTTCAACTTTGAGATTGCTACTAAATTATAAGAGCTCAAAAAATTTGATGGTTGGGTATTGGAGCACTAAGTCTATAAAGCCTTTTGCTTGCTGTCCCTCAGGCTCCATGTGCCTATAAAGTAGGCACTGAGGCCTGAAAGTACCCATATAGGAACCCCTTTAAGGCCTCTGTATATACCCGAAGGGTCCAAACACCCAATAATCAGAGACTCTCCCAAAAAGGGGTTTCGGGTGTAGGGTTTAGGGTTTGGGTTCAGGTTTAGGGTTCAGGGTTCAGGTTTTAGGTTTCAGGGTTCAGGTTTTGTGGTTCAGGGGTTTACGGTTCTTCGGCCTGAATAGTGTCGAAACTCCCAGTCTACTTGGGCGTGCAGGATAGCTATAGCCCAGTGGGACTGCCTACTGTAGGTAAGCCAGCTAAGGCGATAGTTGAGTTATATGTTATATATATATATATATATGTGTATATATATATATACCGACAAATATAGTTATAGATACTATATCTATCTACCTATCTAGACACACATATGTAAAACAAAATATGTATGTGTATAGTGAGTCCACACATACAGAACCCTAAACCCTAATACAAGCCAGCCCTTGAACCCTAAAATCCTAAAGTCCTAAACGTGTCACGCAAAGCCCCGAACCCAAAACACCAGACCCTACAGCCCTAATTATCCGGTTTAAGGTTTAGGGCTTAGGTTGGACCCCTAAAAAGCACATCAGCAAAAGTTAGGATAGGGATATCCCAGATAAACCCTCTTATGCTGAAGCCCAACAAGGTAGGGATATCCCGATAAAATGCTTACGCTTATGTCTTTTTCGGAACCCTAAACCCTCAACCCCAAACCCTAAACCCCTCAAACCCTAAACCCTCAACCCTCAACCCTAAACCCTGAACCCTAAACCCTAAACCCCTAAACCCTAAATCCCTAAACCCTAAACCCTAATTTAATTACGGGGATTTTCCGAACGGGCCGAGGAGCTTCACGGTGCGCTGCAGGTGATCCAGGGCATCCAGATGAATCGGTGTTTCCTTACTGGGAGTGTAGGGTTTAGGGTTTAGGGGTCGGGGGACTTAGTAACTAGTTATTACTTTAAGGCTCTTGGGCCCAACGACCCTCTTGTAAAAGGCTTTTGGGCGATTTTGATGCTAAGGGTGCTTGGAGTGTAGGGTTTAGGGTTTAGGGTTTAGGGGTCGGGGGACTTAGTAAGAAGTCATTTTATCGACTTATAAGTAGCATAACCCCAATTAGGGTACGTATAAGTCTACTTATTACCTACTTACTAAGTCCCCCGACCCTCTAAGTAGAGCTCGGGGTGCGTGAAGTTGTGCTCTGCGGGCTGAGCTTCGGGTTCTGCAAGGTTTTAGGATTTAGGGTCTTAGGCTCGGGACTGGACTTTCTTACTTCCCCAATAAGCCAGGTGAATAAAAGGTTAAGCTTTCAGGTTACTACTAAGTGAGAAACGTTTAAAGGCTGGGAATTGGAGAACCCTAAACCCTAAACCCTAAACCCTAAACCCTAAACCCTAACCCCACATAAGCTTTACAGTTTGGGCTTTCGGGTTTTCGGGTTTTCGGGTTTACTAACACCAGCTTCAACTGCATGTATCGACTTCGCTCGCACTTGAAACTACAAGCGGCCCAAGCCCTAAACCCCTAAACCCTAAACCCTAAACCCTAAATCCCAAAACCCCTAAACCCTACACCCTAAACCCTAAATCCTCAAACCCCTAAACCCCTAAACCCCTAAACCCTAGACCCCTAAACTCACTTCGCATCTAGTCCCCGTCGATAGCTGCGAGTGAACCTGCAAGCCGGGGATGTAGAATTGCTATTGCTAGTAATCCTACGGCCGTACGGTTGATGATATAAACCCGGCAGTACCCATATAATAAGGAATATACCATAATTCCAGTAGTTTAGGGTCCTTAAGGAAATGCCGGATTCATATCATCAACAATAGTACCCCCCGATAGAACTTCAAATGTACCCTCAGTAATATTCCAAGCAGCTCTGTATACACTCACCAAAAGGCTAAGAAACACCCTAACCCAGAGGCTCCATATATACTGCCATTATGGAATTAGGTCCCTAAAACCTGAATAAGAATGGTCTTTTGGGAACTAACTCAATAGTGGTACTATATGTGGAGCCTCTGGGTACGTGGAGGGTCGGGGGACTTAGTAAGTAAGCAATAAGTAGACTTATAAGTAACCTAAAAGGAACTCTAATTGGGGTTATGATACTTATAAGTCTATACAATAACTACTCACGAAGTCCCCCGACCCTCCAAGTAATTGCTTCATGTGCCATCCTGTCCCTCCGCCTCACCCTAAGGGGGAACCAGCCCAAGCCTCAAACCTGAAGAATCTCTTGCGCCATGCTCGACATGCTATCCCCTATAAGCCTGATACCGTAACCCTTAAGTTAAAGGAAACTAAGTGGCGGCGAGTTTAGGGTATATAGGGCTTCTATAAGGCTTCCATAAGGTATATAGACCTTCTATAAGGCTCTTAAAACGGTATCTACTCACCTGAAAATGTCCTAGACTGGACCCTACAAGCCCTATAAACCCTAAACCCTAAACCCTATAAACCAAAAAACCCTAAACGGCTCCATTAAGATTAAGATAATAACAAGGCTTGGGGCTATACAATACTTGGAGGGGCCTTGGCGGCAGCAGTTTTGTATTTTCGCAAACATCAGAAGTATCATAACCCTAAACCCTGAACCTACGTTTAAGGGTTTAGGGTTTAGGGTTTAGGGTTCAAGGAATCGTATGTTGAGGCTTTTGGGCCCAACGACCATACTATATTATGAGGCTTTTGGGCTATTGTTGAGCCTTAGGGAATGCGGATCCTGTTTATGTTGTTAAAACTTTACGCATTACCTAGTTACTAAGTCCCACGACCCTCTAAGATGAGTGAATATGCACTCACAAAGTTCACAACGAATTCCTACTTGGAGGATCTTGGGACTTAGTAAGTGGGGTTATAAGTAGTTACCTTACTTATAACTTATAACCTCAGTTACTAAGTCCCATGATCTTTTAAGTAGGGAGAGTCTGGATGAACAAGCCACGACGCCGTAAGAAGAAGTCGTCCAAGATCTGGAAATGCCGTGGCCAGGGAAAGTCCCAGCCAACCTGTTGAACATGGAGGCCCCTTACTCTATAGCATTGAATCAAAGTTTAGGGATCACAGAGCACACTAGCCACACTAGCTACGCGGATAGTGACCTACGTCTCGTCGGGAGAGCTCCTACAGCAAGCTTATGCGCTTTCTTGGCTCCTAGAACTGGTCCAGAGCATACCCTGCTTGAATACGCACCCCATGCAATCTTGAAACCAAAGGCCCGTGGGCGAGAAGGCCGCGGCCCTCCTACGTCTGGGTTCCTGTTACCTAGGGAACTTGACAATTTTTTGAAATGAAGATGAAGGAGGTGTGCCCTAAGGCTCCGTGGACCTGTCTAGTGCATTCGAGGGTTTCGGGTTAAGGCGCACCATTATATAGGATATAGGTACATGGAGCCTTACGGGTGAGAATGTGGATATTGCGACCTTCCACGAACTCATCAGCAGGAAACACAGGTTGATGCAGCAAACTCACAAAAGATGTTAACAGACTCTACAGGTAGGAAGTTTAGGGTTTATAGGGCTTCTATAAGGCTTTTATAAGGTATATACACCTTCCATAAGGCTCCTATAACGGTAACTACCCACCTGAAAATGTCCTAACAGATGAGGGGCTGAATTCGGAAGAGTTACAGTTGGCATCACATGCTTTCCCGTCAACGCCAAGAGCTGGTGCCTGAACCTCCTTTAGGGCCCTAAACCCTCAACCCTGAACCCTGAACCCTAAACCCTAAACTCTAAACCCTAAACCTTAAACCCTGAACTCTAAACCCTGAACCCTAAACCCTAAAGATCCCCAAAGGGTGTAGAGCCAGAATCCTTCAAAACGCAAACCCTGCCGCCAACCTGTACCAGCACCCAGCTCGAGAATGCGCACTCCTCGGAAACAGCTCGGTTCCCAGACCTTCCAGAATCCCTTAACTAAGGAATATACCTTAACTTATCCTTGGGGCTTGAGGCTTGGGGTTTAGGGTTTAGGGCTTCGGGTTTATAGGGTTATAGGGTTTAGCGGTTTAAGTACTTTGACCCTAAAGTACCCACATAGGGACTACATTAAGGCCTAGGTATATACTAGTTGGGTACATGGACCCTTAGAGTTAAACTATAATAGTATAATACTTAAGGTAAATTCCTTAATCTAGGTTTTGGGGCTTGGACTGACTGGTAATGCTATACTTACAACAGGGAATGAAAGTGAACACGACTATTACGCATTAATCCGACCCCTGCATGAAGCATAGCTGCCGGGGCTACTTTGACGCACAAACCTCATCACTACCTATGAACCTGCAATAGCGAGTATGAAACACAACCGCGAATCTCAAGACCAGACAAAGCCTCCAAAATCCCAATATCTCAAAACCCTCAGCACCACCAAACTCACGTGGACTTCTTAGACCCTACACGCCCTGCACCCATAGATCCCTGCGGGCAAAAAAGTCCAAACAAGCACCCGCCAGCCGTAGAGCAAGTCCAGTGCACCTGGTTGGAGCAGCCCGTACTCTCGCCCGTGCGCTCCTGAAACTGGGCTCTTGTTACTTGCTGGATATCGTTTTTATGGAGAGGAGTTTCGGGTGAAGGGTTTAGGGGTTTCCGATTTAGGGTTTGGGGTTTCGTGGGTTGGTCTTGGGGTTTAGAGGCTGGGGGTTCCAAGTGCAGAGAAGCTGATCCTGTTAGTACTCCCTATTAAAATCCCTTATATCAGTGCCCATGGCCCCTCTTCCCTTCAGCCTTCTGCCTTGCCCTGAACTTCTGAAACTCCAAAGACACCCAAGGAGTCTCCTGAGGAGGTTCCGGGACCGGGTAAGCACCAGGAGCACCCTGGAACACAGTTCAGGTCAGTGTGCTGAACTGGAAGATTTACCTGAGCCTGCCAAAAACCTACTTTTTTGGTAGGGCCCCTATGAATTACATATTACGGTTAATCATGAGAACCTACCTACAAAAAAGTAGGTTTTGCTAGGTTAGGGTAGAGATCAAATAGGAGTGACCTAAACCCTACACCCCAAGCTCGAAACCCCAGGAAGTAGGACTCTTGCGGACCCCAGAAAGGGGCACCCAAAATTTGAGCCACGGTTTAGGGTTTAGGGGTTCAGGGGTTTAGGGGCTTAGGGTTTAGGGTTTACCCACATTTGAGAATCCACCAAGACCCAGTCGTGGAAGGGCCCTACGCACAGCGCTTAGATACATATAGTGAATTCTAGCCTCTCCATTTCAAGCGAAAAACTGTTGTGACGCAACAGAAAACCGCACAAACAGTAACTTTCAGAGTGTCTCAAGAAGGCCATCAGTTCCACTGCCGCGCCCCATACCAGAGTAGAGCACCTTCGGGCTTAGGGCTATGGGGATTTAGGGGCTTAGGTGTTTCCGGCTTCGGATTTGGTTTAGGGTTCAGGGTTCAGGGTTTAGGGTTTAGGGTTTAGGGTCTAAACCCCAAAACCCTAAACCTAGGTTTAGGGTCTTCATATTTTCAACTGTTACTGCCATAAGGGTCCTGGCATCTCCTTGGGAGGGTCCGGAACCTGCTGGGGAGTCTGTTGGGTCTTTCGGGGGTCTCAGAAGTCCGAGTTCTAAGGGTGCCAGGACCGTGATAGTGAATCCCAGAAAGTTGGAACATGGGCTTAGGAGGACTAGTGCTAGGATCCCTTATACTTTACTTTAGTCATGGCTTACGGTTACCACGCTGGCTGACTCTGCCTACTTCTACTGCGGGCGCCTGCTTGCTCAGCTGTTTCTGCTTGCTCGCGACTCTGTCTGCTCGCTTCCCCGGTGACCGGCATTTCATCGAATCTACACTGTCAGGTTCTCTGCGATGTAATTATACAAACTACGATCTGCCGATCTTCAAAGAGTTCCCCCTTTTCTTGCCGAGTGGGTCGTAGTAGCAGTCGTCGTCGTCGTCGTAGTACCACTGCTATTGCTACGTACTACCACTAGCACCAGTACGAGTAGTATACATAGTAGTATCAAGAAGATAAGTCTCAAGAGTGTGTCGGCTCATCAGAGGAGCCAGGCGCCGGGTTTGTTTGCGGGGTGTATAATAATGTTAATAATGCAGTATTGATAAGGATTTCTACGGAACTGTCTCAGTATTGGTAATTGTTGATTCATGCTTGTACATATCCTATGGATACAGGAAAAACGACTCATGGTATACAGTAGAAGCCAAAGAAGTTGGCAATCCAATTAGCGTCACTCCTTCAGAGAAATGTATAGGGAATCCTAGCACTAATTGTCCTTAATCCGGCTTCCAACTTTCCGGGGTTCACTGCAGTGCCGCGGATGTAGGGTCCTGAGGCTTAGGGTGTTTACCCTGATGGGGCTTAAGCGCCGCCCACCTATGTAGGTGGGCGGCCTGCTTGGGGCTTTAGGGTTTTCCGTTTAGGGTTTAGGGTTGAGAAGTGAAAGTCTGACGGTTTAAGGTTTAGGTTTTAGGGTTCAGGGTTCTTAAAGCTTAGGGTTTAGGCATCCTCGATGTACAAGCATCTCGGTACTCTTGCAGCCCAACCCTGGACTGATACCCAACCTTGTACTGATTAACAGCTCCGTGGTAAATATCTACTACTATGAAGGAAACAAAGAAACTTGAAAGTCTGCATCCTACCAAACCCTAAACCCTGAAATAACTTCAGCATAATCGTAGCTCAAGGATAATTGTAAACACAAAGCCCTAGACCTCCTAACCTTTCCTTATAGCATGTTATAACAATAACGTATGAAACTAAATCACCAAAGAACCAAGCTTTCAAAACCCCAAAACCCGAACCCCTGAGCCTAAGCCCTTAGCCCCAAACTAAACCCCAAGCCCTAAACCCCAAACCCAAAGCCTCAAACCCTAAACCCTAAAGCCCTAAAGCCCTACAAGCCCAAACCCAAAGCTATGAACCCAAGAAGCCCAAACCCTAAACCCTAAACCCTAAACCGAAGCCAGACGAAGCAGAGCCCCCAGACCTGTCTCCGGTCGACTCCAGCAAATTGACCTCTGGCGCCTGGCGGACCCTACTGTTTGAGGTTTCGGTTTAGGGTTTAGGGTTTTTGGGTAGAAAAGTATGGGGTTTAGGGTTTAGGGTAGAAAAGTATAGGGTTTAGGGTTTAGGGTAGAAACGTATAGGGTTTAGGGTTTAGGGTATAATAGTACGGGGTTTAGGGTTTAGGGTGGGTTTTGTACTGCTGATGATAGAAACCCTGCACTGCCTGAAGGACCCTAAAAACTATGGGAATTATGGTACATTCCTTATTATGGGTAATGCAGGATGTATAGCATCAACCGTAATTTGGGTTTAAGCTTAGCCGGTTTCGGGTAAACAGGACCCTGTAAGGGTCCGTGTGCCCAAAAAGAGCATACTTTCACCCTGAGGTACCTGTGTCGGAACTAATTTAGGGTTTGGGGTTTAGGGTTTGGGGGTTTCGGGTTTGGGGTTTCGGGTTAGGCGTGGGGTTTGGGGTTTAGGATTCAGGGTTTGGGGCTTGGGGTTTGGGGTTTAGGGTTTAGGGTTTGGGTTTTAGGGTTTAGGGTTTAGGGTTTGGGATTTAGGGTTTCGGGTTTAGGGCTGAGGGTTCCGATTTGCAGAAGCCAGAAAGTTGGAAAATCATTCTCCTCCTGCCCTTCAGGTAAAGTGTAGAGAGTCCCAGCACAAATCATCCTCACTCCATCTTCCAACTTTCTGAGGCTCACTACATATAAATACATGGGGGGTTTCCGAAAATAGGGGACCCTAATATAGCACCCTAAATAGTAGGATCCTTATTATAAGGACTTTAAAATAAGGTACCCCCCTACTTTCGGAAACTCACATGGACACTCGAAGGGGCTCCCTTAAGGGTTCCTTGGAGGGCCCCTTCAAGCTGTCCTTTCAGGCCTCTCTCAGGGGGGGAAGCTCCCTGGTTTGGGGGCTCTTGGGTTTTGATCTGTTCATGCACGTTTAGGGTTTAGGGTTTAGGGTTTAGGGTTTAGGGTTCAGGGTTTAGGGTTTAGGGTTTGGGGTTTAGGGTTTAGGGTTTAGGGTTTTCGTTCCGGCTTACAAAGACTCCGTGAAGGTATGGCAGGGGTCTAAAAGAGTTTGCGTGGTTCGTTCGGGCCTTATGGGTTTTGGGCCCGTGGTCGGTATAAACATGTACTTACAAACCCAAGTAAGGAAGCCTTATTCGCAGAAGTCGTGGGAGGTTCTGTGGAGGTTTATACATGCTCTGCAAGTGTTTTTGGCTCAATTCTGTTTTTAAAAATACCGCGAAAATTCAGGAGTAACCCTAAGCCCCAAACCCTCAACCTTAAACCCTCAACCCTAAACCCTACTTCCGCCATAGAGTACCCAAGCACTGGGACATGGCTTTGGAGGCGGGGTTGTATACTATGAACATATCAGAGAACTTTAAGGACTAATTGAAAATTCTAACCGACACCCTAAACCCTAAACCCTAAACCCGAAACCCTAAACCCTCCCAAGTGCTAACCTCGAAAACTACTATCCGGTACCCAATCACCTAACTATTGGATCCTTTGGGCCCTTACTTGGAGGGTCGGGGGACTTAGTAAGTAGCTATTACAGACTTGCACGTATCATAACCCCAATTAGAGTCCCTTTTAGGTTTCTATTAAGTCTACTTATTACCCTATCTACTTACTAAGTCCACCGACACTCCAAGTAGAACCTGTATAGAGCCCCCCCAAAAAAAGCGTCAGCAAGGCGTTGGAAGGCTTACAGAATCCCTATAGAAGCCCTAGCTGTTGCATCCTTTGGACGTTTAGGGGAACATTGTCAAAGGAAAACCCTAAACCCATCCCAAAATTATCAAGGCCCCTCAACCCTAAACCCTTATAGTAGCACTTATAGAGCCCCTTTCAAGAACCCTTTGAAGGAACCCCAAGGAACCCTATTCTAATAATTGAGGATCCCCCTGAGCCCCCAAATCCTGATTAGATCCTTTGGGGAATATGTTGAGCTGACAGGGACCTCCGGAGAAGCGAGTCGCGTTGGAAGCGCCATGGGCTTCGATTGCTGGCCCAAGGCCCCAGAACCATTCTCCCCAGACCTTATTGAAACCCCAGACCCTAAATATAGACGCCTAGATAATTCGGGCAAAGACTGGGGGATTGTGTGTATCGAAAATACTCAAGGGACCCTTGGAAAGAGTGAGACTAATTCTTCAGGCGCCGATATGACCCTGAGTTTACCTAATGTAAAGGCCTTACTAATTAGAATAGGGTTTGGGGGTATATTATACGATAATTACGATAAGGGGTCCCCAAAAGCCTATTCTAATTCTTAAGGCCCCCACATTAACTCGGGCCAATACTCGCCATGAGGGTTAGGATTTCTGTTTCTGGGTTTTAGGGTTCGAGCTTTGGGTCGTTTACATGTATGGGGCCACCTTAAGGGCCCAAGAACGAAACTGGTAGGTGCTTGGTGTAAGGAGTGTGGTGTCGGTAGACTTGCCGCGAAGAATCAGAATGGTGGTGGTGGTGGTGGTGGTGGTGGTGGTGATGGTGGTGGTGGTGGAGGTGGTAGAGGCCGTGATAGTGGTAGTCACAGCAGCAACTACATTGGTACCGACACGAAAGTAACGGCAACCACAGTAAGGATAGTAGACAAGGTGGTGTTCCTCATCCACAACTACTAGCGCGAAGCTTTTTGAGCCACACGTTCTGGCGGTATATGCTGTACCAAGCTTTATGAGTATCGTTGCACACTGGCTTACTGTAGTCTGCATCCGCAAACCCAAAGTACTGTCTGAATACAACGGAAACAAGAACTGAATGGGCTTACCGGGGTGTGTTCACTCAGCATTATGTCACAATGCGTGGAAACTACTGCTGCACGAAGTGCTTACCACCTTCCACCCTAAACCTCCGTGAGCCGTCAATCCAGAAGCCCGACGCCTTAATCTCCAACACCCCCGAGGCTTGTCTAAGTGTTAGATACTTGTGACCGCCAGGCTGAGGGTTGAAGCCTGGTTTAGGGTTAGGGTTTAGGGTTGGGTTTAGGGTTTAAGGTTTAGGGTTTTGGGCTTAGGGTTGGGTTTAGGGGAGCCAAGTGCTCAACTCGCGGCGGTGGCGGTTGATGACGATGGCCTGCTTGCACAGCATGCGGTGCGATGAGTGTACTTCAGGTTCACGCGGCCGGTGCAGCAGAACCTCTCCAGGTGCGTGGCATGCCGGCGAGCTCGGAGAGCAGGCGGGCACCGCCAAGACCAGCTTGTCGGAAGTGATTGCCAGGGATGCAGTACCGCTTGGACATTCTTGGCTGTCAGCTCTCCCAAAGCACATGCCAGGAGAAATGCATGCCTCTCACCGCCCCTAAACCCTAAACCCTAAACCCTAAACCGTCTCCCAAAGCACATGCCAGGAGAAATGCATGCTTCTCACCGCCCCTAAACCCTAAACCGTCTCCCAAAGCACATGCCAGGAGAAATGCCTGCTTCTCACCGCCAGTGACTGTCTGTTTAGCATTGGGGCTCGGGGTTTGGTATTTCTGCTGCCTTCCTGGGAGGGGCGGGGTCTCAGTACGTAGGGTTCCTTAAAGGGCTCCTTGAAGAAATCCTTAAAAGGATCTATGAGGATTCTCTGCAGGGGAGGGTCAGAGTTATGTTACAGATATAATGTACTATATATAATTATAGGAAGGAGCCCCAAAATAGTCTTGGTAATGATTACGGGCCCTATAGCCTGTTGAACCTCGTGCAGGCTCTGGGATAGTGCGGTCTTTGGGCCCCCCCCCCCCAAAACTGGGGGAATCCTTACAGGTCCAAAGGGCCCGAAAGTTAGGTACGCTGGATTTTGGATAGTATTCCCAGAGGGTCCCTATATACTACCATTGTGAAGTTAGGTTCGAAAAACACCATCCCCATTATGGGTTTGGGGACCTAATTCCAAAATAGTATTGTATATATGGACCTCTTGGATTCATGTAGGTTATATTTGGGTAAAGTAGGTGATCATTGAGTGCTAGGACTCGTGTGCTGAGAGAACAGCGACCTAATACGTAATCCCTCTGTAGGATTTAGGGTTTAGGGGTTTAGGGTTTAGGGTGATTTAGGGTTTAGGGTTTAGGGGTTTTTGGTTTAGGGTTTATGACTTTGTATGTAAGAACCCACAGATTACGAAGTAGAAATTGACAGATTGCCAAACATAAACCCCTGTATATGAGGGGTGAAACGATAGCTCTGCCCTCTTCACGTCTTACCACAACCCAAACGGATCAAATTTTGTTCTGCATTCCAGATACAGGAACCCCAATAAGTGTAACGTTGCTCCCCTTAGCATCAAATAGCCCAAAGGCCTCATTAAATAGGATCTTTGGGCCCAAAAGCCTTAAAATATGAGTCCTTTGAGGGTAAGTTTAGGGGCCCTAACCCTAAACCCTAAACCCTAAGCCCTCAGCCAAGCTCCGGACACCATGGAGGAAGTGGAGGTTCGATCGTCCGGGGGTGGACCTGGACGTGAAGGGTCGCCGCCCTAAACCCTAAACCCTGCACGGTCAAGGGTTAGGGTTTACGGTTAGGGCTTAGGGTTTAGGGTTTAGGGTTTAGGGTTTAGAGGTTTGGGTTTAGGGTTTAGGTTCCTAAGACCTAAAACCTAAACCCTAGAATATAGGGTACATATATGAAAAGGTCCTTACGGGAGGGGCAATGGGGGCAAGAGCTCCTTCGGGAGCTTTTCTAGGCAACACGATGCGGCCAACCCTAATTAAAGCCTACCTACCCTAAACCAAATTTAGATTTCTATGGGCTTTCCAAGGCATTCCCAATATCGAACGAGAAGCTACTTAGAGGTTCAGGGTTTAGGGCTCAAGGGCTCTACCTTGCCTCCAGATGATGCATACCCAACAAAAAAAAGGTTACTCGCTCAGCTACTGGCACTCCATACCTGTATCTATACCCTAAACCCTTGACTCCTGCGCCCGAAATCCTGAACCCCAAACCTACCTGGACCCCAAATAACCTGCCTTTTTACGGGCCTATCAAAGGACATCATGTTTTTATAGGTTCCAGGTACACCCTACACCCTAAACCCTAAATCTTATTCAACCAAAATCTACACCCTAAACCTGCACCCGAAACCTGCACCCTAAACCCTAAACTCGAAACCCTAAAACCCTAAATCCTAAACTCTAAACCCTAACACCCTAAATCCTAAACTCTAAACCCTAAAACCCGAAATCCTCATCTACAGCAAACCGCCCAGGCCCCTGGCATCCCTCGCTCTTCTGCATAGAAGCCACTTCCCTGCCTTAGGTTCGTGAGCTTTGAGCAGGGGTCCATGTAGCCTTCATAATTAAGACATGGTTCTGGGGGTATATATTTAGGGTTAGGGTTGTAGCCTTGTTTTGGAGGTTTATAAACTGTCTTTATATTAAGGAGCCCCCGAAATAGTGATGGTAATCATCTTGGCACCTATAATAGCACAGGGAACCCGAGAAAGTCCGAGCATGGGTTTGCGAGACTTAGTCCCAGTGGCTTAGCTTGAGGGCAAGGGGTTATGATGTTCGCAGCTTGTGGTTTCTATTGTAAAAACTTGGGGTTTCAAGAAGTCCCTGTATAAGTACTTCAGGGTTTAGAGTTTAGGGTTTAGGGTACTCGCCGACATAGAAGCAAAAACGCAACTTAAACTACTATTTCAACACAAGTGCCTGGTTGCTGCGGCCTTTGCACCCTTAAAGTTTCAGTTCAGGAAGAGGGATTGAATTTCTGGGTTGGGAGATCAGGCCGAGGTTATCGGGCTTGGGGTTATCCTTTGTGTATATATATATATGTACTAAGTCTTAGGATGTAGGGTCTACTGGGACAGATGCAGATCATCTACATGTCCACGTGTAGGAGACTGCCGGGGAGGTGGTGGCTTGGCTTTGGGTTCCTAAACCCTAAACTCTTAAACCCTGAACCCTAAAC